ATGGAATGAAATTAAAATTCATAATAATTAAACTCTAAATATCATAAATATCTCCTGCTCCTTGCTAATGTTGAGGGAAAATATCAACATTTTGAGGGAAAATCCCACCATATTTGATAACATGAGTTCTTCCATGAAGCACAAGCTTCCATATGTTGGTTATGATATCCTTCTTCCCATTATTAAATTCAACGACATAGTTGCTGATCGCATACACCTCGCCTTCGTTCAGTACACCTCGAAATGCTCCCATATGTTTGGAACATATTATCCCTTTAATGAATGTACCCTACAGTATAAATTTATAAATATGAATTAAAATATTTTTTAAAATTACATAAATTTGATATTACAAATATAAATATTTACCTGTTCATCATGAAACAGTATATGGAATGCGTTCCAACTCTCCCGTTGGTGATGCGTTTCAACTATTAGGACTGCTTTCAAGTGCAAAAAGGCTTGTTTCTCCTACTCACGGAATCGAGTGTATCCCAGACTAGCAGCATTTATTATCAATATGTTCTGAAATTTATCTTTTTTTTTTCTCTGTAAAATTTATCTCGTTTTTTTTTTCTCTGAACTGTGAATGACATGAACTTTTTTTCATTTTTTCTGAACTGTGAATGACGTGAACTTTATTTTATACCAAACAACCGTTTTTTAATTCAAGATTCGCATAATTATGTAATGATAATTATGGATCCAATTGTGATAGATATTCCATAAAGACTTATACTTATCTCTTTAATGTGACTTATCCACATATCCCAATAATATCTCTAAACAGTGTGAATCATTCAAATACATACACTATTTATCTATACTAGTACGTAACCCGTACGATGCACGGACTGTATACGTTTTCGGAAATATAGTGTAGTACCAGTGCGCAGTACGGTGGGGTTATTTCCTCAAACTCTTTTTCTAAACTTTTTTTAATATTTTTGTTTATAAATTAATAATTTGATTGTAATAGAGAAAAAAGAGAGAGAAATACAAAGTACAAAAATATAAAATCATATATTATTAAACACTTCTTTATACACAACATTATTGGTTTGATTTGCTTTCAAACCTTCTTCTCCACAAATTAAAATTTTCAGACCCTTTCTATTAGTAACACGGGAGACAGCGACATATAACTGGCCATGACGAAAACTGGTTTCTTACAAGTTGGTTTTTACCAACCATACAAATGGGTGAGCGAAATTGCCCTCCAATAACACCCTTAGTTACACTTAGACATGGCCTGAGGTCACCCGGCACAGACTCGACACAAATCCAGCCCGGTCCAACTCGTTGACCACGGGTTGGGGTCCTTACCCGAATTTACATCGTGACGGTTTAGGGTCGGTCATTTTGAACTCGACGATCCGTTGGGCCCGGCCACGGCTCAGAATTTGGCCATGTCCAGATAAAAATCAACGGTCAATTTTTTTTTTTCAAATTTTTTTATTTCTTTTAGGACGGGTCCAGTTTTTGGTCAAAACAGGCCCGTCGGGTCACTAAACCAGACTGGCCTGACGGGTCGTGTACCCCACACGTACATAAGTACGTGATGATTCAGGATCAATCATTTTGAACCCGATGACCCCGGGCCCGGGCCCAGCCTCGAAATTTGGCCATGTCTAGCCACAGTATACTATACTATAGAAATCTCCATATGTAGTAAAATTTTCTTTCACAGTTTTGTCGTGTTCCCATCAACCAAAGAGAAAACGTGTATTATTATATTATTGAGAAATTAGTGTATTCGGATGTTATTGGTTTTTTTCCAGAATGATAACATTTTTATAGAAAACAACAGATGTACAAACTAGAAACAACCCACAACTGAATGAACTGGCTAAGAAGCTGAATAAAACTGGGAGAATAGTCGCCTAGAATTTAAACTAGAACAAAAACTAGACTAAGCACCACAAACTAAAACAAAACAAACACCAAGCCCCAATAATGGAGAATCACCACTCCATCATGAGAGACTACACACTCCCAGACGGGAGAAAACACAAAACACATGAACAAATACACTAAACTAGACTAAGGCCCTTCCCTCAACAGACAAAACACATCGAGCACTACTCTACGGCAAAAATCACAATCGACCACCATAACGGACTGGACCAGAGCCCAAGGTGCCGTTTCAAAAACTATCGAACACGCTTAACTGAAACCGAAACCCAAAAGTCCTATTACACGTCCTAGCGGATGATCCCAACCCCACAGCCGG